AGCAGAGTGTTTCTCCAAATGACCTACTCCTTCTCTTAGGAAGACCACTGTAAGCATAGGTTTGAGAATCACTGTTGTAAAATCAGCATAAGCACAGCTAGAATATATATCCTATGTTGTGTTGGCTTCAAAACCTGGGAGAAAGGATGGAAAGTATCCTATTACACGAACACATGACCTGGGGATAAAACACAGCTTCTTTAACAAAAAAAAAAATTTCTTTCCGTATGTCCATTGGTATTCAATGTATATGGCAACCGAAAGGGGGTAAAATGATTACCATAACAATCCAGCTAGGTTTAAATTGCACTTTAAATGACAGGGTATTTATTATAGGTCAAGCTCTTCCCTGAACTGCATCAAGAACACGGTTGTATGAGGGCAAGTTAGAGCAGATTCTGTCTCTATATGGCTACTGCTCTGCGGGAATAAACAAAGGAGTTAATCAAAACTCAGAGACATTGGTTTGTATTCTGCTAACCTCCATTAAGAGAGTCTTCCTTGGGGTGAACCTTCTTGCTCACGCGAGTACAGAACATGGGGTTTTAGCACAGGTAGCACCCATCTGTACATTTTGTTGAATACTGGTCTTTTCTATAAAGACTTTCTTTGAAAAAAAATACTTTAAAACTTCAGTAACGTTTTTTCTCTCTGTCTTTCCCAGGTATCCCACACAACCCTGTCGTTTTGGAAAACTTTTATTGCTTTTACCAGCTTTACGTTCGATTAGTCCATCTACAATAGAAGAAGTGTTTTTCAAAAAGACCATTGGGAATGTACCAATTACAAGACTGCTTTCAGATATGTACAAATCCAGTGACATATAAATTACCTTAAAATAAACAATCAGGATGGACTGTTTGAGAAGAACTTTTATCTATGGAGAATAAGCCTCAACTAACAAATCTACAGGAAGCATAAGCCTGGGAATGTTTAGCCTTTAAACCCATTGACAAAAAATACCCCAGTAGATATGATTCTGCTGCTCTGAACAGAGTGATTTAGATCATGGAGAGAATGCTTTGTTCTACAGAAAAAGTGAAAGTGGTTGGAATTTGGCTGCTATTCCTGTTACTACAGGATGGAGGCAATTCAGATGCCAGTCATAGTTAACAAAGACTCCGCTATTCTCTCATTTAACTGGCAGATCTGAGACAAAATGTGAAAGAAGGTACTTTAGTTTGTTCAGTATTTGGAACCGGGTGACCAAACTTGGCTTCTGTCGTAACGTGAGATGCAGTGGCCTTCAGAACTGTTTTAAAAGTAGCCTATGTTGGGAAAATGTTTTTAATATGATAGGCAACATTTAAGACCAGGTTACCAAAACATTGCTTCTGCTATAATACATCATGAAGTGGCCTTCAGAACTGATTAAAAAGTAGCTTATGACTGCAGCTCCATTCTTCCTGCAAAACAAACTGGTGATCTTTGATGCGGATGTCACCACGATTTGTTCGGTTAACATCTCAAAGACAGAAGAGCTTTATATGCTTCCTCCCCAACCTTCCCTCCTTCTTCTTCCGCACACACAGACACACATTCACACACACACCTGAAAAGATACGTGTCAAGAAAGGAAGACTAAAACAGCAAAACCAAATCCAATGGAGATGACCGCTTCAGTGACCTGCTGGCTGTCCTGTTGGCACAGTGCTGAAACCAAAGGCAACGGTGGCCAAACTCTTTGTCAATGAGATGCGCAGAGAAGTGAAATGACTATATTAAAAAAAAAAATAAAAATCAATGGAAGGAATTTTATTTCGTTAAAATAAAGGTTGTTGACTGATACAATGCTAACAATTTCCAAAAGTCTCCAATGCCTTTTTAGAAAACTCCAGGTTCTAATTTTGAAGCATTGTTCGCCTACACACTCTCACACACAAAAACGTTATAAGCTGCTTATTTGATGTATGAAAAAAGGTAGGAAAAACATTTAAAGATAGCTGCTGTACTTTTCAAAATTTGATTTGTTATTAGGAACTAGCACTGAGAAAAATCAGCACTTGGACTATCATAGAATGAGTAAAACTTTTCCTGTACAAAGTGGATTAACTGATTTGTGAAGTTAAAAAGTTGTACTCATTGTATTTACAAAGAATAAAAATATATTGAATTTAAATTACTTTCTACTGTTCTTTTAACGCTTGTCCTTCTATTTCTGGATTAGTTTCTTTCACTGCATCCTACTTACTAGGGAACAGAAATATTCTCTACTAAAACGGATTGCCTTGGATGCTGTGGAGTCTCCATCATCAGAGGTTTTAAAAAACAGGTTAGACAAACATTAAAGGAATAGCTTAGGTGATCCTGCCTTGGGGAAAAGGACTCTGAGGTCCTGCACAGAGCTGGTTTTGTAACTCAAATATACACCTGCTGCAAGGTTTCCTGCTCAAGGAGCTGACACAGCTTTTTCTAGGACACAATACTAAACAGATCAGAGGTCTAACCTAGTATGAGTCTTGTTTCATGTTGTTACGATTTTTAATATCGGTGAATTGTCCAGCTAACAAAGGGCGATGAGTACAAAAACACTGCTTCAGTTAAAAAGATCCCGAGGTTTTATTAAGGTGTCCAGTCGTGTAATTACACCAAAGAAAGAGGTAAGCAATTCCCAATGCACACAATAAGTTGGCAATAGGAGAAGGGAAACATAACATACTGTTCATAAGGCAATGAGTGACCGAAGAGCCATGCAGACTAAAATGACAGGTGGAAATGTACAGTGTTTAAAAACGGCTCATTGGTTTTCAGTGTCAAGTAATACAGATCACAAGTGAAATCCTAGCTCTGTTGCCTCCAAGCACAAAAACCCCATGTGTTTCAGAGGTCAAAGTTTTCACCTGAACCCTCTTCCATTTGCAAGTCTGCTAGGTCTCACATTCCAAGACATCCAAAGCATAAAGCATACAAGATCAGCCTTTTGTCAGGTGAGACAAAGCATGGACTACAGGGACTTCAAAGCATCTTCTGTATAAACTAGCATGGAGCACTTGAGAAGGCGTTTATCACAGGGCAGAGTCCATTCTTAGAAAGAAACCAACAAACACTTTATGAAGTGTTCTTCGGGCACCTGTAATAACCTTCAACCATTTTTTGCTCTCTACACTAAGAAGATCTGAACAGGGCAGAAAAATCAATTGTGATTCTCCACTCTGTGATGATTCATTCATGAGATAAAGAACTTGAACACAGCGCTGCGCAGAACCCACGACAGAACACTTGTTTCACTAGGATTCACGCTGCTGTCCCCGAGCAGCAGTAAACACTAACTGCATCCACACTGCAAGGCAACCGCAGGCTGCAGCGCGCTGTGCTCCCGGTGCCCAGACCAGCCAGGCTAGGGGATACAAGAGCGCAGAGCAGGCAGGGCGAGGGCTGCACACCCCTATCTCAACCTCTTACCTGCAGAGCAGACTCACGAGCTGGGAACAATGCCCAGATCCCTGTGGTTTAGGCACAGCTAATATCAGATCACATCTCCCTCCCAGTACTGCAGATTGCACAGAAGCAGAACCAGTTACACTTGGCTAGAGTTAGGGTCCATAGTTAGCCTTGAAGGACTGAAGGCCAAGTGAAATCCCAGAGGCTAGTGCAGATGTTCTGTCAACCTCAGTGGTTAACACTGGAAAGAGGAATACTTTGACATCAAGTATACAGCTTTTCCTTCTTCAGCTTATTTTTTTTTTTTCCCCATAGCAGATGATACAAATTGTGTCATGATCTTTTAGGGATAAGATGGGGCATTTACTTTGATTTCTGAAAGAAGCTTCTCTCAGAAAATAACATTAGAGAAAAGGAAAAGTTTACTATTACCTAAACCTAAATAACAAAACTTCACATACATTTAGCCCTTCTTTCCCCATTTCCAAGAGTAACTAAACTTTCAAGAGTGATTCAACAAGCACATGGAATTTTAGAACTAATGTCACATTAAAAAAAAAAAACAACTTCTTGAAAAGCTGGACAGCTCTGGATTGCAAGTGGGCTCTCTGTTTTGGTCCCTGGTTTCACAAATAGGGCTGTTGGAGAGATTCGGCAGTCTTTGTTAAGTACAAGTGGGAAAAAAAGCATCCAACTACTCAGTGTAGTTAGTCACTAGTACTACATAACCCAGTCAGCCACCACCACCTTGTCAGTTCAGTCTTTTACATTCAGATTTCCATAAATGATGTTAACTGTCTTAGTCAAAGGAAACTAATAACTTTGCCAGTAAGTTTGTAGGATGTTCTTGACAGTGATAAGTAGTATTTTAAGAAGGAAAAAGCAACAGACAAGTCCAAGCCAACACGTACTGTTACCACATAGCACAGAACACTGGATCAAGATTGCTACTAGAGTGTTCTTTTCAAGAGCACCTGGCTAGGTTACTCCCATGTAACATTGGAAGCACTAAGGAAGCTTCTCCAGCCATAGAAGCATCTAGAGAGAAAGACAACTTCAGCAGTGCTGCTTGAGAACTGCAGTTCAGGCTTCAACCACCTGCATTTCACCAGTGGTCACACAAGCACAATGCTACAGCTTCCCCTTCCTTTAATGTTCAGGGAAGTGATCTACAATCACATCTTTTAGCAAGCTTGTATGACTGCATGTCCCTAATTGCATTTGTAGAGCAGAGCCTAATTTAATCTAGGACTAGGAGTTACAACATACTATAGGTCATGTCATTTCTCTGTAGGATGGTGTAATTTTTACTTGATAGTTGAAGCGAGATTGATGCTTCTCATGCCAAACAAAAGTACTCTGTGAAGCCACAGATCTGTTGACTGTCTATCACAAATGGGGTTCCAGCTTTGGCTGTACAACACAGGAACAGCCCTCAATACCTTTATATGTTCTTTAACACTTGAGCAGCAAGTGCCCACATCTGAGGGTATTTAGACCTGGCTGTTAGTAACACAAGGCCACATTGCAGAAGAGCATCACAGTAAGGCTGAAACACCAGTTCACTTAGTATAGACAAGTTCCTGCTTCGCAGAAAGCATGAGATAACCCACACAAGGTCAAGAGTGACAAAACATTTTAAGTGCATTTTCACTTTTATTTCAAAACTTTAGACAAGTTACTTCAGTATATAAATTTGATTTTTTTTCCTCTTACAGAATATAAAGATAATTCCCTCATTACTTCAGTATAAAGTGTTTTACAAGCTTGAAGACAATTGCATAAGTGTTTCTCACACAGGATATCAGAAATAAAGCAGTCTTTCTACAGAAGTTCAGACAGATGACTACCTCAGAAACAGCATAGCAGTTTAGTCAAATACAAGTGAACATGTGACACTACAACTGTGCAAGTTCAAGTAAGGCCAAGTCAGTAAACATTGTTAAGTCATTGCAAATAAGAGTGGAAAGGTTTGTGAGACATTGCAAGGGGTGGATGGTCTCATAGTATAATACTCTTAATCAAGGATTCAGAGGGATTTAGCTAGAAGACAAGTGAGTTCTTTAATGCTATAAAGCATAGGCAAAGGCCAAGCAGTGTACTGATGTTAGTGTAGACTTCGTGCCTGTTTATCCTCAGCATGCTAAGACAAACTACAACCTCTTAAAACCAAGCATAAGAACCACTAATGTTTTAGAAGATAGTTTCAGAACTCAGGTATGTCTTATTTTGGATGGTGTGTAGTTTTTGTCTATTACTTCATCTTGTAAGAACATGTGAAGACAGCGCTCGTTCTGTGCCAGTGGGTGGCCTGCGACCCTGGAGAGGAAAAAACAAGCATTAGTGCTAACAAATCCAGTCTCCTTGCAGCTAGCCAGTGGAGCAAGGTTTTACACCAACAACCTATGGTTCTGCACTTAGGCACAGATCCCACTTCCAGTTCACTGTTGGTGACTAGTCTGATGTCTGGCAGCAAGATTTGGCATTCTCCCCCAGATGAAGTTAGGCCATAGGAACCCTGAGCTACCTCTGATCATTTGGAAGCATGTTATGTCATCATCTATCACCTGCAATTGAGGGGACTATTAAAGTGCCCACCCAAGCATTAGGAAATCTAGAGTTAAGCAAGCCAAGTGAATTTTTACAGGTCTTGGTGCCTGCTTAAGGGCTGCTTAACCCCTCAAGTTCTCAGTCTAATTCAACAGCAGTTAGCTCAGGTAGAGTTAAAGACTCACTCCACCAGGGGGTGTGAAGGTCTTCTGAAGGCTCTGACACTGTTTAGGGCAGTGATTTACCATGGTCACTATTCCTAGCAGGTACAAACAGCACAGCCAGAAGGTACTGGCCATTCTGCTAATTGCAGATGTCTTTAGATGTGAAACACAGGAGACGCAGAGCTTGTCCGCTCTAGAAGAGATCAGCATCCCTACTGTAGATTTAGTTTTGTTCCACATACAGACTGGGCCACCATCCTTTTAACAGTAAAGGAGCAGAAATTGAATTAAAAGACACTCCCAAGCTTGGAAGAAAACCACAAGGCATCGCATTTAAACCCTTAAAATACCATGCAACCTTCTGTGTAGGTAAAAATACAAGAGAATCAGGATTGCTGGAAGCTGATCACTTATGGATATAAAAACCTAAAGCAGTTTGGTTTGAAAAATGTTACATCCAGTTTGGTCAATCAAGATAGGCTTCCTCCTTTAAGAAAGCCCCCCATCCTCCCTAGGACAGCTCATGTCAGCCTTATGGCCTCCATATTTGTGAGAGCATTACTACTCTAAATGGAAGTTACCTAGTTGAACATGTGTAATACATAGTCAACTCCAGTGGCTCAGCATCAGTACTTCCAAGCACTTCCGTGCATCTTCTCCAAATGTATCTATTAGTGCTTATTCCACCACAGGACAGATTCATTTGTCACTACTAAATTGAGGGTGTCCTTTAATGAGGAAGCTAAGCTCTTCTATTCAACATCAATAGATTATTGGAAGTGCAGTCAAAAACCTATCAATCTTGCCAGGTTCTAATAAACTGGCAGCAGTCTCAAGCACTAGTTCACAAGGAAGACAGTCTGGAATAACTAGTTTGACTTTCTTACCCCCTATCAGGCTGAAGTTGCTGGCCTTGAACTTTAAGATACACATGAGATGACATGGCAGCTGCATATTCCTTCTCCCTTTCAGGAAGGCTTGCAAGTTGGTGGCTGAATCGCAAGACCAGATCTGATCTCTCAGATTCAGCCCTCGGTTTCACACAAATACATCACTCTGCATTGGCTTTTCCTCACTATTCTTCACTAAGGTAACCCTCACACATAGCAGATGCTACTTCAAGAACTTTTATGTATCCCAGAGTCAGGTTCAGGCAGAGAAGAGTATTGCAACATAGCCACCCCCTGGGGATACCATTCTAGGTAGTATTGATAGTGGTGCCAGCAAGCTGGCCCAAACCAGCTGATTCAAGTAAGCTGCACTGCTGTGATTTAGTCCCTTTAGATTTTGCATCTAGAGGGAGAAAACAACTCAACATTCACCTTAACACTCCTGGATATCAAGAACTGACATTGGCGTACCAGGATTTTTTTTTTTTTTTGATAGTGATATTGGTTATTGAGGAACTCTTCTCTAGTTCTAGAAACGAAGGCCAGCTTTGAGAAAATAGTAAGTGAATGTATTATGCAAATTACCTTCGGGTCTAAGTTCACTAGTACCCAGCGTACTTGGTACTAAACTTTAATTAGTAATATTTGCCTGATGAGTTGTTCATGCGATTAGAATAAATTGATGAGGCTGAATAACTAGTTGTGCCTGAAGAGCCTTGTTCCAGCTGTACTCAAGTCTGCCACTACATCAATATCCACATTAACAATCTGCTTTTATGTTTCAGAGGAGGAAAAATTGATCAAGAAGTTTTACAGTTCCACAAGATCAATGTATTACTTGCTGTAGGACTGAATAAGTGATACCAGAGAACTAGCCACTCCATTTCTGTCAGCTATACTGAGTTTTCCAGATTCCAGTTATGATGACTGTTTCACTATCATCTGCTTCAGAACGTAAATAGCCCTCTTCCCTGACATATTGCTAGACTCAGCATACAAAACTTTTGGTAAATGCACTTCTGCATTTAATGTAGAGGTCCAAGCCTGCATGGATAAAAGCTGAACTTTGCAGTCATGACTGCCTTGACTGTACAGCCTTGAAAAAACCAAAACATTCTGTCTTACTACAAGCACATCTGCCTTCACATAGTATAAATGCAAAACTAGATGCCTCAGAAATTAATTTCACTTGTCTTTGAACAGAAGAAAGAGCAGTCAAGCATTTTACCTGCTCAGAACCATTAGCAATACCTCTAAATGGAGCCAACAGGCAACTACGTGAAGAAAAAATTCAGAGATTCCATACAGTCACACTTACCTGCACAAGACAGACAGTTTTAGTAAACTAATCACTTGCAACTCCAAACCATATGCCTGAACTGACAAGAAGATTCTAAGTTGTGGCTTAACTCATAGACATCCTCTGTCCCTGTTGAACAGCATTACTATTGAACAAGATTAGAATGCTAGTGGAACTGACAAGCTTCAGCTTTCAAAGGGAGCAGTCCCAAATCCAGTTGCTTTGAACAGTGTTGGCTCTGGAGCCCAGAAGAGCTGGTTAGCTGACAGTACTCCTTCTTACCCACTGTTTGGATCCACATTGTTAAAGAGATTAAAGTAGCTCTTCAGGTCAATATATGGAGAGCAGTTAGGGTCAGATGGTAGAAAGAATCATAAGACTTTGTTGTTATAATCTCTGCTCACCCTTTGAAAGACAGTAACCAAACCCAAAGTGTCTATTTCAAACTACATGTGTGTACCTCAGGTAGTGTTTTCACATCTTCAGAAAAGATTCTCATGATGATTAGAAAAAATATGTATGATTACACAAGCTGATAATACCTTACTTCCCCAATCAAGGTAAACTGCTGTAAGCTCCATTGTTCAGCCAGTGGAGGATACCTTTTCAGAAATGAAAAAGTAGAACCATTTCAAATGCTATAATTTTAGCAGTAATTTGCATAAATTAACAACAACACTAACATTCATTTCAGCTGTTCAGGTAAGCATTAAGATATCCAAACTAAACACTGGATGAGCAGTGTTAGTATGTCCTACTGCAAGATTATGTGAAAGTTATTATTCCGAACCTAGTGCAGCTACCATCGTTAGAGAATTAGCAGCTTTATTTCAATTTTCTGGAGCTGAATTCTGGGTTTGTCTCCAGATAATTAACACAATACTTACTTGTTTATGAATTGTTCAAGAGCCTGCTTCCTTTCCTCTATAAAGGAATCATCAAATATGCCATCATCTCCTCGGAAGGGGAGCTGACGGAGAAGAGCTTTTCCTGGTAGAGGGGGTACGACGACCTATAAGATTTAGAAAAGTGTCATTAAGTGCAGCCTGCAAGCAAGTTCACTCTACACCTCCTGTGTCACCTCCTCCTCCTAGAGGACCCAATTCAATCGCATCCCTAGCAAAGCAGTAAAACACAACCAGTGAAGAATAGTATCTGCCCATAGAAGTAAGCTGAATTCAGGTAGTTTAACTCTGAATTAAGTCAAAACCATTAAACAGCATCTAGCATTGTAAAAAACTAAGGTTTGCTGAAAGACTGACACAGTGTTTTAGTTCTGAACATTTTCAACCACAGTGTCTGCTCTATACACTTTATAACATAATGATAATGTTTCAGCATCACTGCTCTGTACATCTATGAAGACCTGTATTTACCTTTCGTTTCACCCACCTTGCTTTCTCTTTCTAGTTCATTCCTTAGCCATTCAAAGTCACTGTATCTTCTTCTGACTGTAGATTCTTTCAATTTGAAGATAGGCAGATTTGTCTGAAACAGAGAACATAAGCTATTGATCAGAAATTAGAAGTTTTGACAAGCAGAAGCAAGAAACAAACTGTTAAGTTCCAGATTAGTTCCACTTAAGCAACAACAGTATTGAGAAACGCTGAAGATACAGAAATACAGATAAAGCTCTGTAAGCTACATGAGTAAGCTGCACCTCCAACTGCTTAACTGTGGGCCTCTTGCATGGCATCCTGACCACTGGTATTTTGCCACTATATCACCCAGCAGAATAGCAGATTTACTGGCCACTTGAGGAGACTTTCCTAAGGCTGCACAAACATCTGTTATTCTTACTGTCTCAGAAGCTGGATTCCCAAAGCCAATATATGTACAAAATTGAAGGGGGGGAGGGTGTAAGAAGGGGGGAATAAAAAAAATCCACACAGGCTCCTCCTACTGCATCCAAGGGAGTATTTCAGGTACCAGCATAGGACGTTAACTAAGCTTCCTGTACTTTCCCGCTACCTGATACAACATGGCCTCCAACATCTTTAAAAGCAAAACCAGTAAGTTCTACAGTAAATCCATTCAGGACAGATGAAGCTGAAGATTTGATAGTAGAAGCTGCCAAGTTCGGATAGCTTCAAAGAAGCCAACAAGGCTGAGATGCAACACAACATTCAGTGCTGATGAGCTCAGACTGCTTTGCTACGAAGTTAAACTAAGCAGAGCTTGATTAGGTACAACTTTCCTAACAAGGGTACGAGTCAGCACCCAACTCTAACACCCTTGAAAGACTTACAACAGGAGCCAGGCTATAATGCTGCCCAAGACCATGTTAAATACACAAGCACCCTGATAAATGTCCTTCCACTAACTTGTGTGAGAGTCTATATTACCTCTGTTCATTCTTGGGGCACCGTGTTATCCCATTGTTGTAACCCAACTCGCATGTTATTTTAAGAGTAGGCCTTGAGACAATGCTCTCCTAATGACATCCCCAGAATGGAAAACTCCAAGACCACAATCTGAAGCTTAAATGTCATTGAGATGGCAAACCGGCTAGAGTGTTGCACAAATTTTTGAAGGCGTTAATGACCGACTGAAAGCAACACCAAGAGTCCATAATTGCCATACATAACCAGCAGTAACAGAATAAAGCTTATTGTTGTCAGATTGCATATTCACTCTCTTAATATACCTATAAAGAAGACTTTTGAGGAAAACCCTAGGAAGCTGATGTTCACATGGGACTACAGTTATCCCCAGTTTTCATGTTGGCAGAAGCACTGTAGTCACTCTCTGCCAGCGCCTTTTATTTTTAAAGTTGTAAGTCATCTCACTTGGCTTCTGGTCAGTTTGGGTGGATATCCCTGTATGATAGCATTTGCGGAATGTTATGCTTAAACTATTATTGAGGTATACTTTTGGCTGCTCAAAACAGGTTTAATTGTAAAGGTACTTTCCTGCTCTAGGGAGGCCTATGACCATGGGCCATTGTATTACTGACAGCCAACAACGAGTTTTGGCTGTCGCAGTTCAAAAATACTCGACGAGTTAGTTATGTACTTTCACATTATGCTATTTAGCCCACAATTTACAAGTTAAAGTACAGAACAGCATTTTGGTATGAAATATCTTATTGCTAAATGTTTAGAAGTATTCAAGCTCTCCTTCCCAGGTGAAACAAAACATTGTTGATTGTACCAGTGATCAAAACCAAAATTGCACTTAAGACTATGACATCAGAAGTCAGGCTTTTATTTATAAACACTCTTGTCTTGAGGATAAGAATACCCTACTCAAGAGCAAATAAAGCTAGGTCCCCCAGAGCGCATGAGGGAGATTCCCAGAAGTTAAGTACTGGATTATTTTTCTCCGATTTCAGCTATTGGCTTTTTAGCCAAGTTCAGCCTTCCACTTTACAATGTCAACTCTTTGTCAGTGTCTCTGGTAGAAAGTTCTTTACAATATTTAACATATAGGCTCCCACCTGCACAAAATATTCCATTCTCCTCTCAAGTTACTTACAAGAGGGATTAGAACTGAATAGAAGCAGCTAAAAAACAATCAATTCCCAGGTCTTCAGGAACTCTTTTCATGCTTCTGGGCACGAAGTCTATAAAGTTAATCTCTAAACAACATATCAGGCTTATAGGTACGACGTGGGGGTAGAAGTGCCAATTGAGCTCATTTTACCTTCTATATTCCCTTTGAACTTTTGACATGCTAGTCCAGCTAGCAAGTCAGAGAAAAGGGCAGTTAAGAGTAATTTTTTTCCTTTGAGTTTAAAAATCTTCTCCAATTTTGATTGTAAGTGCTGTAAATGCTCAAACTGAAGAGCATGCTAGAAGGCTTCCATTAAACTAAGTGGCTTACAAGTCACAACTGGACAGAACTACATGCTAAAGAAAAGTGAGCATCCCCTGTCCTTTGGTCTGGATATGAATTACAGCTATCTGCTGAGATCAACTTCTAAACCTCATGTTTCTTAAAACCTGGAAACTGCAGCAGTTCTCCTTCCTCTAGAAATCAGTATTGATAAAGCAGCATTCTTCAGATATGCAGCTGTTTGAAAGGATCTATTTAAAAAAGCAAATTGAAAGTCCTGTTTTATATAGCTTAACTTCTTCACATCTTGGGTCCTGTGTTGGGTTTGTGTCTGGCATGGTTTTGGTAACAGGGGAGGGGGCTACAGAGGTGGATCCCATAAGAGGCTTCTAGAAGCTCCCCCAGCTCCAATTCAGACTTGCCTTTGGCCAAGGCCAAGCCAATCAGTGCCTCTGCAAATAAACACATTTAAGAGGGCAAAAATCTGAAAATCTGTTGGGCAAGTCTGTTTGGAAGGAGGGGGATGTGAGAGAAGCAACCATGCGAACACCCAGGTCAGTGGAGAAGGAGGAAGGGTGTGCTGGAGCAGATTCCCCTGCTGCCTGTGGGGAGATGGCAGACCGACCCCCTGCAGCCCACAGAGATCAATAGTGGCCCAGATGTTTGCCTGTAGCTTGTGGAGGACCCCCTGCAGGGGTCCCCACAGCAAGGGACTATGCCCAAAGAAGGCCATGACTCCAAGGAAGCCCATGCTGGAGCAGCCCATCACTGGGAGGACAGCAGCCCATGGGATTGACCTGTGCTGGAGCAGGGGAGGACTGCAAGGACCCCCTCTCCCTGAGGAAGAAGAAGCAGTAGAAACAACTCGTGACAAACTGACTGCAACCCCCATTCCCTGTCCTGCTGGGGCGGGGGGGGGCAGGGAGGTAGAGAAACTGGGAGCAGAGCTGAGTCCAGGAAAAAGGGAGGGGTGGGGAGAACGTGTTTAAGACCATTTATTATCCTTGGCAGTGGTGGTGGTTAAATTAAATTGATGTTGTTTCCCCAAGTCAAGTCTGTCTTTTGCCCTTGACCATAACTGGTGAGTGAGCCCTCCCTGTCCTTCGTCTCAACACTCAAGCTTTTTGGTTATATTTTCTCCTCCCCATTTCACTGAAGTGGGGGGCAGGTGAAAGTGAGCAAGCAGCTCTGTGGTGCTTTGTTGACAGCTGGGTGGGCTTAAACCACAACTGTCCCTATTTTTAACTCAGGATATATTCACATCTGAAGTTACTGTATGTGCCTTTCTCATTAAGGATTATCACCCTGTTTGAGCAGACCGTTTTTTCTTTCAGTAGGAATGGTTTCTGCACATCCTACTGCCTTCATCTACCATGGATAGACAGTTTTCATTAAGCAAGCCAGACAGCTGATGAAGCATGGGCTATCATGGGCAAAAATTTGGTAGAAGACAACCCCAAGTGTCAACAGAAACTTTCAATTTCTACTGAAGTGTCATTTCAGGACCATACAGGATACCAAAAGAGTTATTCTCAGTGTCACAGTTTATATTGAGAATTATCCTTGTTTAGTCACTGAGGTGCCAGTAGCTATTCTGAACACTGTTAGTGATTTGTTTGTCTGCTAGAACAGAGATAAGGTGCAACACTTGAAGTCAGGCTAGTTTCATTTTTACAAACATTTCTCCCCCTGCTCATTCAGTGTTACAGTGTCTGCTTTCTGGCCTGCTGATCTGCAAAGTCTACTGTCATGAAACTCACAACCCAGTTTGGCACAGCCCCTGGAGCATAGCTCATTCCTCTGATAAATTCAGCATCATTACTGCAGCAATTGTTTCTTCTACAGTGTAATAGTTGGTCTCATTTTTATCAAAACCACTTTCAACAGCTTCCTAGTGCTTGCAAGCCCTCAACCTGAAAGGATACTGCATTAACTGAGACATTAGAAAACCAAAAGTCACTAGTCAGAATTGCAGATAAAGCATTACTCCAGAAGGACCAGTAAACCAGCTCTGCAGAAGTCCCACATAGCCCAAAATCCCAGGCATACAAAGATGCCAAGACAAAACAGATTCTATCTAGCACTGTTTCTGTGTCAAGCTACATGTAGACACTCATTAGCCTTTCTCTGACTACTGTCAAACTAACAGTCTGTATTCTGCTGTGCGAGTTAATGGCCAAGCCAGTACACTGGAATGAACATCGTCAGAACTGATGCCAAGTTAAATTACATAGTTAAACAGCAGACCCTTAAGTCACTCCTGCATTCCTCCACTCAGATGCCAAACAAGTTTCTACAGTCATTTGGCTAGTGTTCAACAAACTGGTAATGGGAAGCAGTGGTTGACTGCTAATAGATTTTAGGGCAAAACCTCTATACACAGCAGGCATGTTTCTTCAGCTATATTTATATTATTATAACATATTCAAACCACAAGTCCAACTCCAAATTCAGGAGATCCTCAATTCACCTCAGAAGCAAGTGACAGTCCTACAACAGTAGCTTGGATAACCAGAAAATAGTCTTCTAGCTGCTACTACAGTCAATCCCCAAGCTACGTTCAGTTAGAAGTCCAAAAATTGTTTATGTATACAAGTGAGGAGACTTTCAAAGGCAGAATGCAAGCGGTTTGAATACTAGTCAATACTGTCCATATAGCTTCAGATACACAGTTCTCCAGTGCAGCCATTCTGATATCGAGTTACCTTAAATGCAGGAGGAAAATTAAAGTACTTTAAAGTTACTAATGTATTTAAGTGTTCTGTTATCTAGACTAACTTATCCGGTGAGTGGAAAAAGCCTTGCAAATAGCTAGACTTACTCCTACAAATTTGTTTCCAGATAAATTGAATGCAAATAACATTTTGGTTCCTTCAAAGAGCATGCTGACACACTCCACAAGATTGACAATGTCACTGCAGCCCAGTCCACCCCCACAACTGCAGAAACTACACAGCTGTAGATGTCCAGGATAGTTTGAGGTAAATTTGATTAATTTCATCATCTGCCAATATAACACTGCATTGCCCATGTCTCCCACTCTGAACAGACTGAGAATAAAGCTGCACTGTTGCCATAGCACCTACTTTGATGTTGTCTTTTCACGTAGGTTATGGCAGCCTTGATACAAGTCTATTTCCATTAAAATAGAGTGAAAGAGTGAAAGAAAGCACTCAGCTCATTTTTGATAGAAGTTTATGGCCTTG